CCCTAAACCCTAAACCCTGTAACCTCACTTACCAAGCCCCATGGTTCATCCTCCCGAAAGAGCCTCGGGAGTCGAGCCTTCCGAGCCAACTAGAGCCTCCCAAGCCCCCTTTATTCAGGAATAAGGTTTAGGGTTTAGGGTTTAGGGTTTAGGGTTTAGGGTTAAGGAATATACCTTAAAACATGGTAGGGGTCCGGTTTAGGGTTAAGGAATACACCCTGGGCTTTGGAGTGCTATACTTTAATTTTTTTGGGGGGGGCCTGTTCCTCAAAAAATGAAAGTCTATACCTTTTTCTCCCTGGCTACTTCAAAGCCCAGTACCTTAAATTATCGTAGGACCCCTGATATGATTTAAGGTATATTCCCTTAATTCCGTTACAGACCCCTTTAAGGAACCCTAAAAGGAACCCTTTAAGGTATCTTCCCCATTAAGGGATCTTCGAAGATCTGGGTTATCTCCTTGGGATCCTTGTTGTAGGTATACAATGATATGCCCCAACATCTTATAAGGCCTCGATATTCTCACGGAACCTCAAAGAAACCAAAACCCTCAAACCTAAACCCTAAACCCTAAACCCCAAACCCATTCAAGGTGTTAAGGACCGAGTACAACCCTAAACCCTAAACCCTAACCCTAAACCCAAAGCCCTATGCCTTAAACCCTAACCCTAAGCCCTAAGCCCTAAACCCTACAACCTAAACCCTACACCCTACACCCTACAACCTAAACCCTACACCCTAAACCCTAAACCTTACACCCTACACCCTAAACCCTAAACCCTAAACCTTAACAGGAGTCCTTGGGTGCAGGTCCTCGTCGCAAATTTGCGATGAGCACGTACCTAAGCCCGAGCCTCCGGAGGAGCCGCTCGACCGCAGGGTTTAGGGTTTACGAACCCCGAGGGTCCATACAGGTTCATATAGAATATATACATGTAATCTTGTATATGGCCATATATATAGTTCTATATATATATACACACATATAACTCTATATATATATATATAGATAGAAAATATATACAATCCTATGCATATATATATATATATATATATGTATGTTACTACATAGAGTATATCTGGATCTCTTGGGACCGGTGTTGCTTTTGGTGCCTTCTGGTAGGTCTAGGGTAAGAGGGTTTAGGGTGCAGGGTTTAGGGTTTAGGGTTTAGGGTCTAGGGTAACAGAGCCTCTGGACTGCTGAGTTCTAGCGACCTCTCTGACTGAGTCAGCAGACGGATCTCAAGGGCAAGCCCAGGGTTTAGGGTTTAGGGGTTTAGGGTTTAGGGTTTAGGGGGGGGTTAGGGGTTTAGGGGTTT